CAGTCCAGTTGGCATCCATCAAAATATTGGCAGGTTTCAAATCTCTAATTTTCATTGGTAAAATTCTAATATTCTTAATATGAACACACTTACCTATGAATTATTTTCAAACTGTGTAAATAAACCATTCCACATGCAATGTCAATTAAGAGTTTCAACTTTTCAGAGAAGGTTACTGATATTTCTTGACGTTTCATATCTTGAATATACTTTTCCAAGCTTCCTCTTTCCAAATATTCAACTACGAGGTATTGCTTGTGTTGTGTTAGTGAAACACCATAAAATAGCACAATATTAGGATGTCTCAATCGACATAACATTGCAGCTTCCTTTTCAATTTCATCAGAATTGGCAGTGTCTTCAATTTTCAAACATTTGATAGCAACAGGATGGTGATGCCACTTTCCCAAATAGACAACTCCTGATCCACCTTCTCCAATCTTCTTTTCTGGAAATATCTGATCGATACTAATGATGAAGGACACTTGTTGTCTCTTACCAGATCCTGTACTGTTGACAGTTTGTAGAGAATGATCCTCCATGTAGGTTATTTCGTTTTCCAACAATCTCTTCTCAATGTCCTTTTCTGCTTTATCTCTTTTAACCCAATAATTAACTTTTCGAGTTATTTTAACACATAAATAGGTACAAACTGCTACCATTCCCACAGAGAATGATAATGTGAGTACGGTTAGAGTTACAGCCACAGCAATAACATAATCATAGGATGGCTTTTGCTGACAAATGAAATCATAAGATTTTCCATAATTGGCTGGCTTTAAACTTGTATCAGAAGGGCATGGTTCAACAATAATTGGAATTTCAGAAATGGTAACACTAAACGCGCTCACCAATGTCAATTTTGTTGAGTCAAAATCTGTTTGATTGATAACGGAAATGAATATGTTACCGAATGAATAACCTTGTCTTTCTAATTGGAATTTATCACTATTTTTGATGCCTAATTCACTTGTTTCCTTCAATACTGGAATGTATTGGTCAAAAATGTCAAAAGCTTCAGGAAAAAGTGAGAATACCTGCCCAGGATAAATTTTGATTCCATTCGAATCTAAATAATTATACTGTTTTCCATCAATTGAGTATTTCCAATTGACTGTGTAAACTATTGAACTCATATCATCCCCATAAGTCAATCCTTGATTATTTGAAAATTCGTTACTTTCAATTAGCGAGCTAGAAAATGTTTGATTAAGTATTGAGCTAATGAAAAGTGCTCCTCCAGCAAAATCAGCTTTGCAATCTTTAAAAGTATTACCTTCAATACTCAACTCATCGGGTCTGCTAATACTAATACCACCTCCTCTAGTGGCTGTGTTACCATCGAAAGAGCTTCTGAATATCACTAGGGATGAATCTGATCCATTTTCAACGAGAAACGAAACAGCTCCTCCACTACCAATACAATTATTATCTGTACAATAGGTTAGACTTGTATCAATTACTGAATTATTAATAAAATATGTGCTTCTAAGAGAGAGGCCATCCTTGGCAAAGATAGCACCTCCCTGTTGAACTGCTGTATTGGAATAAAACATTCCTCCAGTGACCAATAATTTGGAAAATGAATGAATAGCACCACCAAATTCACCACTATTTTCAGAAAAGGAACATCCATAAACTTCAATGCTTAAATTAGGTTCTGAGGATAACTTGTCAATGGTTAGTGCACCTCCCTTCGAATAACTTTTGTTATCGGTAAATATCGAATTCTGAATCCTCACATAGCTATAGTGTGTATCGACATATCTTCCCAAATATAAAGCACTATTAGCAATAGTATTATTGTGAAATGAATTCATACTAATTAATAGAGAACTTATTCCAGTAATTTCAAAAACAGAACCATACTCTGCAATATTATTGAAAAAGTTACAATATAGAACATGTAATTGATTGAGTCCCTTTGCTAGGAGTATATTCGTATTGGAATCTTTGGAATTTACATGATTATTCGAAAAGGATGAGTATGAAATCAATACATTAACAGAATATTCAATACTCAAAGCAGTTTGATATGAAAATCCATCAATTTCAGTTCTAAATAATACTACATATTTGATAAATCGTAAGGATACAAATGGAGATTTGTAAATTCGATTATCATAAATTTCTGGCATGAATTTAACATGTTCCAATATCAAATCATCAATATTCACCAATTGGAATACGTTATTCAATTTAAATGCCACTCTAATAATCCACAATGAAGTTACCTTCTCCAAATAATTCAAAGATTCGACTGCAAAATTCGAATCCACCAATAGAATTGATCTCCATCGACTTTCTTCTATTGAAATCTTTCCAATAGGTAGTTCACCATTTACTTTCCACATAACTATTGCATTTTCATAAACAGTAACTCCACCATCAAAGTTAACATCTCTAAATATAAGTAATTCACCAAATAATTGAACCGATTGAAAGGTGACATTTTGAAATTGGACTAATCTTGTAACTTTTGATGAATTAATAGTAAATGCAAAGAATCCTTGGTTATCACAATCAATTCCATTGCCGTTTCCAATAAATCTTAAATACAATTGCAAATATTGCAAATTATTCTTACTTTCGAATAATTCAACTTGCAGAAACGAAGCACAGTCCGAACGAGAAATATTTCTTTCAATATGAACATCCACAACG